ACCCCCCATGCCCAAGAGCGCCAAGAAATCAGCCCCTCCGATTGCGAAAGCCAGTCGACGAGATGATTTCGAAGACAACTACCTGGATGATATTGAAGATGACTTCGGCGCATTTGATCCGGAGCCGCCGATCTCTAGGCCGTTGCCAAGCCGCAGAAGCCCTGTCAAAGCATCGCGCCCTCGCGCCATGGATATGTCCAGTGATTACGGCGATGATGCGGACGCAGACATGCTTGCGCTCGCGCAAGACTTTGAATCGCGTCACTCGTCTTCTGCGGAAACGGCTTCCAGGAGGAGAAGCGTCCTTACTGCAACGTCAGGGAATCTCGCTCAGCCTCCCAAATCCACTGAACCCTTGAAGAAGAGGGAAGTGTCTAAAGCAAAATTGTCGATACCACCCGAGTTGATGAAACATCCCTGGTCCCCGGATGTCAGAAGGGCTTTGAAGGACAGATTCAGGATGAGAGGGTTCCGACCTAATCAACTTGAAGCTATCAATGCCACTCTAGCCGGCAAGGATGCCTTTGTGCTAATGCCGACCGGTGGAGGAAAATCACTCTGTTATCAACTGCCGGCAATCATCAACAGCGGGAAGACCCGGGGTATCACGATTGTGGTTTCACCTCTGCTCAGTCTGATGCAAGATCAGGTAGATCACATGTCTGCGCTGAACATCCAGGCGGTCTCTCTCAACGGAGAAACAACTTCTCAGAAGCGAAACCAAATCTTCTCATCCTTCAAGGAGAGAAGCCCTGAGTTGTTCGTTCAGTTACTCTACGTCACGCCTGAGATGCTGAACAATAGTCCCTCCTTCATGAAGGCCTTGACAACGCTCCACTCAGGCAAACGACTTGCTCGTATAGTCATTGACGAGGCGCATTGTGTCAGTCAATGGGGCCATGATTTCCGGCCAGACTACAAGGCTTTGGGCAAGCTACGGAATCACTTTCCGACCGTACCTATTATTGCGCTCACAGCAACGGCAACCCAGAACGTCATTGTTGACATCAAACATAATCTGGGCATGGATAATTGCGAGGTGTTCTGCCAGAGTTTCAACAGGCCGAATCTTACGTATGAAGTCCGCCGGAAGGAGAGGGAGCTGGTGCACAAAATCGCCGACCTCATTCAGTCAAAGTACGACCAGCAATGCGGTATTATCTATACGCTATCGAGGAAGACATCTGAACAGGTGGCTGAGAAGCTACGAGACAAGTACGGCATTTTAGCCCATCACTACCACGCACAGATGTCACCCGAGGATCGGATTGATGTTCAAAGGCAATGGCAGAAGGACAGAATCCATGTCGTTGTGGCAACAATTGCCTTTGGCATGGGGATTGATAAACCAGACGTTCGCTTCGTTATTCATCATTCGGTACCCAAGAGCTTGGAAGGCTACTACCAAGAAACGGGGCGAGCTGGCAGAGACGGCAACCCATCCGATTGCATTCTGTATTTTGGATATCAAGATGTCGTCACCTTGAGGAAGATGATCGCGGATGGTGATGGCAATGAGGACCAAAAAGAGCGGCAGAGAACGATGCTCAACCGGGTCACGGCGTTCTGCGACAATCGGGAGAACTGCCGCCGTGTCGAAATTCTTCGATACTTTGGCGAGGTATTCAACGGAGACGAGTGCAACAAGACGTGCGACAACTGTCGAGCGGGGGCTGTTTTTGAGCAGCAGGACTTCTCCGACAAGGCTGTTGGCGCTATTCAGACCATCAGAAACCACGAAAAATTAACGGTCAATCAGTGCCGTGAGATTCTCTTGGGAAAGAAATACCCCCCGAACATAGACGAGGACCCAGACGACGCCCACGGGATAGCTCGGGGGATGAAACAGCATGAAGTCGAGCGCATTCTCGACAGACTTACTGCTGAGGAAGCACTCGAGGAGACAAACGTGGTGAACAAGCGGGCTGGTATTGCCATCCCGTACCTCATCGTATGTTACTTTATCTAATAACTACAATCGTGACTAACATGGTGCTAGGTTGGTCGCAATGCGCATATGTTTCTGTCTGGGCGCCGCAAGCTGTTGCTGTCGGTTCAGGTTTCCGATAGGGGTAGGGAATCCTCGGCTCCAAAGCCGAAAAAGCGAACAAAGAAGAGCAAAGAGGCCGATGATGTAGACACAGGCGCAGGGCCTTCTAGACATGTCCCGCCCTCGACTAATGTGTCCTCGCCTGCTCAGGCAAGAATTCAGAATAAGAAGAAGGGCAAGTCCATGGCAACCATCTTCGATACGGACGAAGAGGAAGAGATGCTACTGCAACAAATGGAGGAGCAGGACTTGTCTTTGCACTCAAACGGCTACGCAAAGGATGGCTTTGTCATGTCGGATGACGAAGACGACGCGTTTGAGCCTCTGCCAAAGTCTCGCAACAGAAGTCACGCTTCTCGCGATGTTGGTCCTCGCATAGAGGCAGACGGTCGGTTGGGAGATCTTGATGAACTGCATCAAGACGTGGTCCACAACTTTGTGCAGGAGGCGAAGAAGCTCGAAGAGCAGCTGCGCAACGCGCAAAGTCTCCGAAAGCCACTGTTTTCTGAGCGAAGCTTCCAAGAAATGGCTATTCGCTGGACAACAACGCTGCCGCAAATGCGCAAAATACCAGGCATCGAGATCGAGAAAGTTGACAAGTTCGGGACTAAGTTTATTCCTATGGTCAAGCGTTGCCGAGACAACTACAATTCCATGATAGGGGCGAAGGACGAAGCTGATCAGATGGACGCCGGTGATCAGCACATTGTTGACTTGATCAGCTCTGATGAAGACATGGACGAGGACATGGAAGATGACGACGACGAGGAGGAAGAGGAGGCTTCTAAGTATTTCAATGGCCCGCCACCACCGCTGAGACCAGAGGTGGAAGCGTGGAATGAACAAATGAGAGTGAACGAGCTCGAGACAGCGCCGCCGACACGAGGATCATCAGGCACACGAGGCCGTGGTGGCGCGCGCGGTGGGAAGAAGCCATACCGCAGAGCTTCTGGCGGAGGGTACAAGAAGGGAGGGGTGACCAAACGGAAGGCCTCAGGCGGGGCCAGCAGAAGGAGTAGCGGCGGGACGACGGCTTCCAGCTCCAGGAATTCGACCGTCACGTCCTTCTTCCCTAGAGGCGGCAAGAGAGGTGGCGGCAGCGGTGGAAGGAGCGGTGGTGGCGGCAGCATCGGACTAATGCCGCATTAAGTCGAGAGAGAGAGGAAAAGGGGTATATGATGTGCACACGTCTGATACGAACAGAACTGGCGACGACGGAAAACTATTACACTGCATTACATGGCATGGTCACGAAGCGGCAGAAGGAGGGAGTGAACAAGGGAAGAAACTTGATCGGTCTGCATATTTTATATTCATGGCGGCGGAGTGGGCGATTATCAAGCATGATATCGGTTCGCGCGGGTCAGGCGTCGAACCGGTTTTGGCAGGGCATCTTCTTCCGGCGCAGCGTAGGCACATTTGGCATTTTAATGTTGACAATGACGAACCATTTCCTCCCTCCTTGGGATGATGTTATTTCTATACTTGAGCAGTCCCTACCTTCCTCGTCTCGTCTAAAGTGTCTAAGAAGTTCACCCCCAAAAAGACGCGAGTAATAAGCCATCACCGGGGAGAATGTGGTGCTATGTTGCGATCATTTGGCCTGTCATGTTCATTTTAGGGTATGCGAATGATCAATTTATAACGTCTTCGGCCTGCCAATCTAGCCACATCCTCCCCCCGCTGTGATGCCTCTCTCCCCCTGCGACTGCCAGACATACTCCAGCCAAGTTCACTTTGGTTGCCACAAGTCTCGTCGGGGGTTCCAACACATCGATCGCAGCAAACGGAAACAACCGAATCTCTTTTTCTTTTTTCTTAACCCCAATGGTATTTTGTAGTAGCGTATGGTAGAGCGATTTCGTACCCCTCGTTGACCGGACATGACGATGCGCGTCTTGACCGGCAACGGGGCTTGGTTCTTCCCATCCATCCACGGATGGCCCGGTCTGGAGGCCATTTGTGCCCCCAAAATACACCATTGACCAGACTCCAGCCCACCTTCCGGGTATAATGCCAACATTCCAAAAAAAAAAAAAAAAAAAAAAAAAGATAAATAAATCAAGACCGCCGGAGAGGCTTTTTCCCGCTCCTGAAAATACGCCATCCGACGGTTCCTAACCCGACGCCATGCCGCAAAGCAATAGAAGTAGAAGTCGTCCAAATGGCCCTGCCGTGAGCCATTAAGGAGCGTAGTCGAATATGTACAAAGTTGGTATCGAGTCGTAACGATGTGTTCAGGCGATGTCTGTCGAGGCCCCCTCATCAAACTACTTGGAAGCCTCGTGCATTTCCGTTGTGAATGATCAAGTATCAAGTCCGCCAGCGGGGCTTGCTCATCACGTCGGCACCCGCACCACTGGGAGCTGCTGGCGAGCTGACAGTCCTCCTCTTGTGCCCAACGAAAGACTCCTAGCCCCTCCATCTGGGTTTGCTGCTCGCAGCGGAAGTGCTGCCGGACAGCTCGGGTAGAGTCTTGCGGGTAGCCCCACGAGGCGTGATGCCCAACGAGGTTTCTCTGCCATTTGAGCTTGGCCCTCTAGGCTGTGGCAGCAAGCTGGTTCGTCGAGTGGTAGCTAGAGAGCTGGCTGGACGACTTGGTGTCCTATCGTCAGCGGTCAAATAGGTCCTGGGAGGCTGCAAAGATGCACGTCGAGTAGATTGAGATTCCAGGCCAGAGGTAGACAAAGACGAGGACAAGCGCGGTTTCGACAGCGTGCGCTGTGAGTAAGGGCCAGGAGAGGCAAGACGTTCGCGGAACGAGAGCTTGGAAGTGGCCCTCTTCGTCGGCGTGTCTTCGGGCATGGGCGAAGCTGATGATTCTCGCCCGAGCGGACCACGAATAGATGGCAACCTACTACCACCGGGTGACGAAGACCGTGGGGTCAGGGACGAGGGCGGGCGAGGGACAGGTGATGTCTTCTTAGCGTAGGGGCTGGGTGACGTGAGACTAAGGGGTTTGAAGTTGTGGCCAATGCCGACATCTGCTGTGTTCGTGGACCCATTCCACCGAGGGCGATTTGGCAAAGTCGACTGAGCGCGGGGAATACTGCCAGTGTTGCTGGCCGATGGCGTACCCAGTCGTGAAGTCATGTTTGACAGACGAGAGGTCAGAGTCTTCCGAGAAGATGGGGTTGGCAACGAGGATTGTCTTCGCCCCGAAGGCTGCGGCAGGTTGCTGCTGCTCGCTGAACGGTTCCTGATCTTGGGTGTGGGTGTCATTGGCTCGAAGCCAAGGCTAGACATGATGACTGATGAAGGGGGCGAACTGCCCGGAGTCTCGCGTCCACTGCCTATAGTTGAGCGATCATTCGACAACATGCTCGAGATGGAGTCTCTCAACTGCTGGCCGCGGTTGTCCGCTTGCACCTCATCAACCACCACATCCATCTCTCTCATCTCGTCCTTGATTGACTCCCACTTGGATTGCATTTCCGCGTGCAGTCGGAGAATCTCGCCGTTCACCGTCAGTCGATCCTTAACACCCTTGTCAATGATGGCCAAGACACGCTCAATAGCAGGACCATAATGCGTCTTCTTGGCGTCGTAACCCTCAATCTTCTTGCTCATCGCAGGGGGGTTGCTCAAATGCATGCCAGTGTCAATGGCCTCTCTCAACTTGATCATCGATCTTTCGACGGATTCAATCATCTTCTGTGCCTGCCGTCCGGCGCCACGGAAAACGAGTACCCAGCGATCTTCTCCCAGCTCCTTGCGTAAAGACTCGGCATCCTTCTCCAACTTCTTGTAGCTGCCGTCGAGACCTTCACGTCGCATCTCTAGCTCCTCACAGGCTGTAGGAAACGACTTTTCAGCTCTTGCAGCGAAGACCGCGAGTCTCATGGGGAGGAAATCGAGTGATGCGCGCAAGGGTTGCATCCGGGCGAACAGAGCCAACAGGCTTGAATCATCCTGCGACAGCGTAGGTGTCCCTGGCGACGTCGACCCAGGGCTGAGGGCCAGGCCTGGTAGGGAGAATCGGTTCTGGGCTTGCACCTTGGGTGGCGGTGCCGGCGCCGGCGTGTCGTCAACGATGTTTTCAAGATCCCCTATGTCAACGCCGTCGCCAGAGGTAGCCGCGATGAGCGATTTGTGCCGGCGTTCCTCCATCTCGAAGACCAAGCGACTCAATTCGTCCATTTCGGTCTGGATATCCCCCAAAACTGAGTTCCAGAGTTCTTCCCATTCCATGGCGATTTCAACTTGACCCTTGACGGTGTTCAGCGTCGCTTTAATGTTGGCCCATTCTTCAATGATAGCCTCCATTTGAGAGACTGCCCGGTGGAGGTCTGCTGGCGGAACATTGGCAATATCCTGACGACACTGCAGCTCCTCGATGGCGCTTACGTAGACTTTGATCAAATCTTCAAAGCGATGGATAGCGTTCTCGACTTCCTCCAGGCCTTCACGCCCGCCCGCGGAGGCCCACTCGACGTCATCGTCACTATCCAAGCCACCAATGACCTCGGACGCCTTGTAAATCCAACTCCTAATCTGTTCAGCTGCATTGATGAGGGCCTTCGAGGCGACCTGCGCGGTTGGAATCGCGGAAACTTTACTAGACAATGACTCGGCGTCGGGCAGTTGGAGGGAAGTGAGCTGTGCTAGCTGATTGGCAAAGGAGGCGCGGGAAAGTGTGTAGATTGAGCCGGGGCGCTGGTGGCTAGGGTTGAAATACGAGGAGAGATCGGGCGTGAACTCGGCTTGGGGGATAGGCGGCGTGTCCTTCGGGGGTGGAGGAGGAGGGACATCCGAGGAGTTTTGACGTTCGAGATGTTCTCGTCGTGTCTCGAGCTGGACCTTGGTGCCATTTCCATTGGTGTGGTCGGGCAGGCGGTACTTGTGTGTCTCCATGTTCAGCGGTTCTGTTGTTGTGATCTCGGGTAGGACGAGAGACGCGCCCGGGGCAACGTCTGCGGTGGACGGCGATGGCTCAGTATCGGGCTCTTCGGTTGAGGTTACGGATTGTGTCTTTTGTGTCTCCGAGGCCTTGTGATGTACGAGACCCTTCCAAGGGCGGCCGCGGCGATGGATAATCGAGTCGAGTGAATTCGACTTGTGGTTCTCGTCGAGTTGGCGGAGTTGATCTTCGGGAAGGCGACCGACGTTGTCTGGTTGGTTAGGAGACGAGTCTGCTGGTTTCTTGTAAGAGGCCAAGCCAAGTGCTTTGAGGCGTGCAGCGAGTCCTGGCGACGGCTTGCGCGGTTGGATTGCTTTGTTCGCGTTGGGTGAGCCGGATGGTGATGATGTAGCAAGATGCGAGGATGCGGATTTGCTGCGGGTCGAGCTTGCGGGCGACTTTGTGTGATTGTTTTCGGTGTCGGCGATGGTATTGTTGTTGTTGTTTACGACATCGAATGGGGCCTGTAGTTGGAAAAGTTCGGGGCTAGAGACGTCAGAGAAGCCCAGGTCAAGGTCCGCTGTTGGAGGGGCCTGTGCCTGGTCTTGTGGGTGCTGTGGGTGCTGCAGTTGGTGGCTGGAGACGGAGTTTTTGGCGCCGGCACTGGCGGCGTCAGCGGTTGCGGTTGCAGTGATGTTGGCGTGGGCTGCATCTGCCTCCTCTGGCGCGGAAGCTCCCTCGGCCGACATTTTATTCGTGCTTATGCCTGTGTGTTGATTGAGTCACGAATCGTCCTTCAAGACGCCGAGCACCCTCCCCTTCGGTGCTGAACCCAAGGCGGCCGGCCCTCCGCGTGCCTCCGCAGAGATAGACGTCTCTAGGTACGGCGCAATGCTGTACGTGTCCAGCCAGGACGGCCGACAACGACTGAGCCGGTTCGTGGGTTGGCTGGGTCCGGTGGTCCTGAGCTTGAGTGATAACTGGGTCAAGGAGACTGATCCTCGCTGGGTTCGGTCGCTTGAGCTGCAGGCCGCCGAATGAGAGGGATCGAAGAGCGGCGCTGGAATGCTGGGAATGCTGGATGCCTGGGCAAGCTCGTCGAGCGCACTGTTGTCAATGCCTTAGTCGGTGGGGTCCCGGCGATTTCAGTTACAGGGTAGATGTACGACAGAAACGAGCAAAGGCGTCCGGCAACAGGGGATCTAGAGGAGCCGAAGGACGGGAATGCAGTCGTTATTGGCGGCGCAGGAGCGTGTGCGCTGCGTCGGCTGCAAGAGCTGCAAGAACGATGACCGGGACTGGGCAACGCCAGTCGTTTGGCGCGCAATCTTTTTGGGCGACCACGCGATTGGGCTGGGATGCAGCGGCGCAACGTCTTAGCACCGAGTTGGTTGGTGAGCAGGATACCTAGGGTAAGGCACGGGGAGAGCAGCAGCAGCAGCAGAGCAGGTGCAGATCTGGCGGCCTCGCCTTGTCTAGGATGGGAAAGGGTTGGTAGAATCGGTTGGACTGCGTCAGGTATGGTATAGACGAATCGGTTCGTTCGGTATGAAGTGAGGGATGGTGCCTTCACAAAGCGTTGGAAGTCGGAAACGAAGCAGGTAAGGAAGAACGTGGCGGCGGATCGTTTCGCAGCCGGCGGAATGTCAGTCGGTTGCTCCAACGTGCCTTTTACGAGGCGACCATTGCTTGGATCCGGCTGCGTGTCCAGTTATGCTGGGTTGGACCTTGTTCGGGCGCAAACATAAGTCAGGGAAAGAAGACGTACGAGAGGGGAAAGCGGAAGAAAGAAGGAGAGACGAGAAGGAAAAAAAGGTAGAGAGCGTTCGACTGGGAAGGGCCTCCCAAAGTGTCTGGATGTAGTGAATATCTAAGTAAGTTGAGACGGAAAAAAAGATCAAACAAGTATAAGCCAAGGAAGAATAAGAAGATGAAGGATGAGCAGCAGGAGGCTGTAACGGTATGTGAGGGAGCGACGAAGAAGGGCAAGAGCCAAAACCAAAGCAAAGCCAAAGCAAGCGCCCAAGCTGTGGCTACTTGACGAATGGCAATGGTCAGACGGAGACGCAAAGAGAAGCAAAGAACGCGCCGATCCGCGGTTGGAAGAAGGAAAGAGGAAGATGGAAAGGAAATGTGCGTCTTCCGAATCGAATCGAAATGGTCTAGTATGGCATGGTCTGGAATTGATTCTGTATGGGACTTCGTGTTGGGTCGGAACAAGCTGCGACAAGCACCAGAAATAGGAACCAAGGACCGACCGACGCGACATGCACAAGGCATAAAATAAATCCAGAAAAGCCTTCTTTTGCGTCCTGGGCAGGGCATTCCGCAGCGCTTTATTGATTTTGCACGAAACCGCAAATGCTACGACGGCGCATGCGAGGCTACCTTACCTCACCCTCCGCCCGTCTCCGTCTCCATCTCCATCGTCAATGTTACACGGAGCTCTCAACTCAGTATGGCCCGGGCCAATATACAGATAGACTCCAACTCTTTGAACGAGTCCGAGTCAAGCACGCGCTCCATCCGGTTTGGCCTCCTCCATCTGCCTTTCCCTTTCTCACAAACAAGTGGTAGCGCCGAGTCAAAATATCCATACTTCCAGCCAAGTCACAGAGAGCACACCCGAGGGTCTTCATCCAGTCTGCACATTTCTGGATTATCGCGGGGAGCTCAGGAAGCCCGGCTGTCAACCTTAAGGGAACAGGGCGAAGCTTCCCTGCCCAGTCGCTGTTAGAGCTCCGTCCCTTACGACGACCGATGAAACGCCCACTGAACCATCCACCCGTCGTGCGCGCCGCCCTTACGTGTACCATAGTAATTATCTCCGTCTCCGAAATCCACGACGAAAGAATGGGCTTCTGCAACGTTGACAATCTTGCTGGCCCATACTGTACATAAAACTTGTAAGGGCTGCGGACCTGTCATGGGAAAACATTCTGATATACAACCCATGTTTCCCCATCTGACTGGTTTGTGGTTCTTCCTCGGCTCTTGCCCAATTTGTCCTGTCATTTGCGGGCAGATGTTATTGGCCGTGTCTATCAATCACCTTCCATTTGAGCCACTCGGGCGCTTCAATCCGTTTCTCATCACCACCCTGCGTCGAGACGCGGATTTTGACTCGACTCTAGAAGCCCGCCAGGAGCCAATAGTCTGTGATCCCACGGTTACAGACACTAGTCCTTCTCTGCCCCGTCCGTTCGCGCTCGAGAGGAACAGTGCCAATTAAGCAGTGGCCAGCAGAGCAATGAGCTAGCGAGCTCTCCCGTCGCTAATTGCTGCTCACGAACCATGGGTTCATCACCCTGGAGCACCACCCCCGAGAGCTCGCCGGTGGATCACCACGATTCCAGCGACAGCCCTTCCGAGCCTTGACCATATTTCCCGCAAGTTACAGCGTCGCAATCAAGTGTCACCAGTTGCGGCAGTTGAAGCCCTCTGCTGTGTCCTCTCTCGTCCGGACCCTGGGGCTTCAAGCCTTCAACGGCAGAAGCTGTTCCCAGTTCTGGACTGGTCACCCGCGACCAGCCCGGGAGCCCTGGCAATTCGAACTTGGGAGGCTCGTGGAAGATTAGACGAGCCGGGGTGACCCTGCTTTCTGGGCTGGCGGATCGGGGCCCGGGGCTGCAGGCCCCGTTCCCCTCCCTGCATGCCTCGCGCTCACTCGCAGCTCCCCTTCGGACAGACACACGGTGGCCGCTGTAGCATTGGAAGCGGGTTGTCAGGTCAATTGGTCCAATGTCTCCTCTCCGTTTCAAAGAAGCCCCGCACAAGCCTTTCATGCCCGATGTTTCTCGTGCATATCATACCATCTTCCAATTCAACCAACATTGCTCAGGCTGGTTGGTTGTGACGCAACATAGCGATGAAGTGAAGTAGAAATATGCGGGCTGCTGATAGTGTCGGATGAAGCCGTGGCACGCTAATAATGCATATTACTCTGCATGTTAAGCCGCCCGGCGTATGCAGGGGATAAGCACGTTCCCGACGACGAGTGACGTCTTTGGAATAGTGCAAGTCTCTTGATGTCGCCCTACACTTACCTATCAGAAAATCACATTCGATTCTCGTTAACCTCGCCTGAGGATATTTGTAATTACTGGCGCAAGAGCGAGTAAGTTTGAAGAGGAGACAGATACTGACCTGGAACGGCTTATGTTGACCAAGAGACTGATAGCTGCTGCACAACCAACTGGTTGTTACTGTCGGACGGCGGCACTAAAAGGTGGATAAAGGTACAAATGGGTTTTGAGTTATCGCAAAAAAACGGGCTGGTATGAAGGCTTGCATATCACCTGCATATGTAAAAGTGAGGGTCGGAGCAGCCAGAAAGCTGGAAATCGATGACACACTGGAGAAGACGCATGTTGCGTGGAAAACAGAGTCAGATGATATCGGCTTGCATGTTTTTACAAAGAAAAGAGGTAGATCAGGCGACGAGCTATTAGGGTTATATGTTTCTTTCATTTTCTGATGAAGGACGGCCTAGGCTGGCAGAGACATCCCTCCGCTACGTAAAGCCTTGCTGATCGTGCTCAATTTAGAACCTGTCTCATGCCCCTTTTACACCTGCCAAACTCTTTTGGAAGTCGTCCTCAATCCAGCCTGGTTCACTTTCATTGCTGAACGAGACATCTTGAATACAGAGAGAGGTACCCGTAACATCGATATTAGATGCCCGAACTCTGGTAGAGTAATCAGTAAGAGCGTGTCGGCTTCGATGTGTCAGCTACGAGTGCCACCGGGTCGCTGTCATTGGTCACTTGTCGACCATCAATATGGAGCTCCCCCAATCTCTTCCCGACAAGGTCAGGCACGGAACCGCGATCTGGAGAGACAACGGGAAAAGCCGCGGGTAGGGCAAGGAAAGGAAAGGTAACGAGGCATTTCGAACCCCTTGGTGCCATGTGGCCAAAAAGCCTGCAATCAACACCAGCGTTCCAATCCGATTTGCTTCCTTGGCCTATTCCCGGCTATCGCTTCCTGTCCGTGATTTGCGCATCGCGAAATAGCAGTCAGTCAAAGTCCTCGTCGTAGCCGACCAACCAACCCACTGGGGCATTAAAGAGGCAACCCGTGAAGCCGTGTTTGGGATTGACAAGAGGAGCCAATCTCCCAATCTTGATGTCGGGAAACGCGGAGCAGAGGCGCCTCGCGGAATGAGCACTATCCACATGTGCTTTGTTGCCCGGTTGAGGTGCTGGAGATTTCGATCAATCTGACGCCCCTGAATATGTCATCGCCATGGGAATCTGTCATAACAACGGCGGGCATGCGAAGGAAAATGGCTCAGCATGGGGTTTGGACTCTGATGAGGTGGCACAGCATCCAAGCTCACAGCAAACAGCCACTTGAGCTTGACTTTCATTCACAATGGACGTCCTGATGCTTGGCTGCATATAGTTGCTGTGGCGCGCTAACTAAGTTCTCTATATGCCTGTCTGTCTGGAGAAGCTCGATGCTATTGGCCTGGACATATGCATGCTCCCGACTCGAGGCTGGATGAGGTACCTTAAGAACAGGGCCATCCCCTTTCGTGTGGCTTGTGACAGAAAGGAAATCTGAGGTTCATCGAAATAGTCTCATATTAGCTGCGACTTACAAGAGGATCTTGCCTTTGACGCTAGCAGCTCACTATTACACGTCACGGCCAAGTGCGGGATCAAAGTTCCGTTATTTTTACATTACCCCATCGACAGTGCAGAAGCTACTTTGCACCATTAGCTACTCCGCGATCCTCAGCCAGTAAGAAACGCCGCATTGTCTGGTCGATATTAAACCACCGCTAACCAGGCATGCAGGCCATTGGAGAGGACGGTAATTGCAGTACGCAGAGTCCTTGGCCATCTCTTGTTGGGACATCATCTTCAGCAAACCAAACGTATTTCTCAAGCTGCGCTGCGTGCAAAACCAAGCGAGCACAACGTCTGCCGTTTCACGCGTTCCATAACGCAGTGCATATCCCTCCGTCCTCTTCCCTGCCTTGCCTAGGTTGTTCGTCCTTTGCTCCCCCACTTTCGGAGACGACGCGACGTTCAATTTAAACCATCCCTCCCTGGTACCTCGCGCGCCACTCCATTGGACCCCCAATTTGCCTGCTGGAGACTGATCACAAGAGATCAATTCCATTTCGCCTTCGGCCCCCCTTTCCCCCTCCCAGATTGCAAAGTCCAGAGTTCCCAAGACCTCCAGAAAGCCCATCAGTCTCCACTGACGCAGCTGGCTACGGGAAGGATCCAGGCAAAAAGAAGCCAGGCAGCGGACCAAAACGACTCACCGTACCCGCCCTTACGCTGTGGCCGAGCCCAACACAAACCCCTGACGCCGGAAGGTCGCGTCGTGTCACAGCTCGCAGCACAACCTTACCCTGCCTTTCCCTTGTCTGGTTTACCTTACCGTTGGTTCCTGGGCCTTGTCTTGCCTTACCTTGCCCTCCGCCTTCGTCTTCGCCCTACCGTTAACATCATCTGCTGGCCTGTCTAATTACCGGCCGGGGTATTGAAGAAAGTCCAGCAGTAAACTTTCTGGGCGCTGAGTCCAGCTGGAAAACTATCCGTTGACCAACTCACTTCGCTCCCTCTCTGACGCATCATACCTTGGTTACCTCGCCTCACCTGAATCAACAATACGCCGTACGTCTGTCGAACCACCAGCATACGTTCTTCCTTTGGAATCTCCTCTCGTCGCCTTCTGGACGCTGCTGTGCACCCAGTTGTCTCGACGGCTATAGCTCATATCCTGTCAGCATTGCTTCCTACATACCCAGCTGCGACATTGTTTGGCTCCCCCTCACGTTATCCCGCGCATGGCTTGAGTACGCCATCGACACCAAGCTGAGACGAGACACCAACATACCCTTCGGACGATCGCCGCAATAACTTTTGACCTATTTAACACCACCAAGAGCACTGCCAGTATTTGCCCCCCGCCTCTTCAGGATTAGCCGAATCTTCGAATTCTCTCGTTTCGTGTTCCAATCGAAGCCATGGCTACAGCAAACGAGCAGCCTCCAGCTCTTCGATGCGATTCCCCCTCGCCCGAGATCTCCCCGACTCCGGCCATCGGCGCCTGTCCTGAACTTACACGATGTGTGTCAACGGCGTCGTCTGTTTCCCACGGGTCCGCCACCGATGGCCACTCCCGTGACTCCCTGGGCAGCAGCACATACTCCAGACAATCCTCCGATAACTACAGCCGTCGCTCAGACATGAGCTTTACGTCTTCAAATCGCCAGTCGACTTGCAGCATGGCCGGCCGGTCCAACAGCCGTCGCCGGGGGTTCGTGCGACCCCAAGGTACCGATTTTGCTGCGAGTGCGCGGCATAGGGAGAGTGTTTTGAGCTTGGGAAGCATCGCCCATTTGCAGTACTACTTCTCACGAACCGGCCTCCTCGATGGCAAGGGTGGCCAGCTGGCGAGAAAGAACAAGGCGAAGGGAGGTCTGGATCTCTCGTCTGTGAGCAGCTCGGGGATGTCTTCGCCAAAGATTGGCTCTGATGGGGAGGCTTCCTTCCCTTCGCTCAGTCCACTCCTCTCTGGGGACCAGTTTGCCGGAGCAATGGTGGAGTCTCCCACCGAGGACGACGACTATTACTCCGACTTTGAGGACGATGCGGACGTCCTGCCGCCGACGACCAGCACCTACATTCATAGGAATAAGCCAGTGCCCAAGCCGCCGACGATCGAGGAGCTCAAGAGTGACTTGACTGAATCTCTTGACAAAGCGGGTGCCTCCCTGAAGAAAGCGTGGGAGAGCAAGGCGGAGAATGCCAGAGCGGCGGCGGAAGCTACGTCAGCTCAGAACACGCCAAAGAAAGGCATGGGCTGGTTTGAAGTACAGGGAATGCACATTCTCGATGTCATGACGCTAGCCATTCGTGCAGCCAAGAACTACTACACCGCCCACGAAGTCCCGGAAAGACTGGACGTGATCAAGTCTGAGAAGGAGATCCGCACCGAGCTTTTCAACGTCATGGAGACGCTGAAGCAGATGGCCACGCGAAAGTGGGCCGGCGGAATGAAGGAGGACGAGTACAACACTCTCAACTCCTGGATCCAGGGACTCTTCAGCATGCTCAAGACCGAAGAGAAGATGATCGAGGCAGAGAAGGCCGAGCGCAAGCGCTGGACCTGGATGAAGGGCGACTGGACTGGCCAGGAAGTCGAGAGGGAGTTGGCGTTCATGGCGTCTCTTGCACCTCAAGCTGAGCCCATGCCGGAGTATACGCCTGCAGCTTCAGCAACCGAGTTCCCCACGCCTTTCTTGCAAGCTTTGCAGAACGGCATCCGACTTGTCGAGCTGCACAACGCGGCAGTCAAGCTGTCGAAGCGACGCTTCGGTCTGATTACCACCTTTCACACCGATACGGAGAAGCCTTACCGCTGTGCTGACAACATCCGCTACTGGGCGAAAGCAGCAGAGCTGCGGTGGGAAATCCTTCTGAAAGTGGATGCACTTGGTGTTGTCTACAACAGCAGCCCTGAAGTCTGGATCAACTTCGAGGCTGCCGTCATGGAGTGGAGCCGCAATGTGCGTGAAGAGATCACGTCCGAGCTGGAGGGCTAAAGACATGAAGCATCTCAGGATACCGTCTTTACGATTGATGCCCCCCAAATACCCGTCTTTTATGGAGTTTCTGGTTGAACTGGCTCTCATTTGTTACATATTTACCCTGAGGAGGATTATCCACTACCTGCATCACATATTTGCATCTACAGCTTCGCGCAATTTATTCGTATCAATAGCTATTACCCCCGGGAGGAGGAAGACTGAAGCATGAGACGTCAATCTATCATCGCACAACGCGATAGAGTAGAAATAGGCGTTGGGACTGTCATTTCTTATCATTCTACGTACATACTTGGAGGTAAATTCTCCTAATTGACCCCAACATTTTGATCATCATTTGCCTACCTTGGTCCTCGTGACGCCTCACATTCCTTCAGGCGCCAAGGACAATGAGACATCCGAAAAACATCGTAAATCATCCCAGTACAGCTGGAAGGAAAGCCTCCTGCCCAATATTTTCATTACGAGTAGACGCCTTCTCCATGATAACCAGCAGGTAGTCCGGTGAACATCAATTCTAGGACATTGAGATCCTGTGTCGGATTTGCGCTTGATCCGCCCCGATAGCTCTCAGCCAATCACATCGCACGCGGGAGAGCTACAGTAGACGCAGGGATGAGGCGCTAGCAGCTGAGCCGTGCTTTGTGAGGCAGAAGGCTACAGCGGGAGGTACGTCTGCACATCAAACCTCCGAAAACAACGATTACATACGCCAGAGCTATCCACCATCCTCCATCCACCTCAACCACAACATCACCTTGCCCGAAGCGACATTGACACGAGACCGCCTCCTTCGTCCCACCACGAGAATTCGAAATTTCGGCCCTTCCTTCCTCTCGACCACACACATAACCCAGAGATGTCTTCCGACGAAGAACGCCAGAAGGCTCTCGACTCTTACCGGGGCAAGCTGCTCGAATCGCGGGAGTGGGAGGCTAAGCTCAAGGCTCTCCGCCTCGAGATCAAGGACTTGCAGAGGGAGTACGACCGCACCGAGGATAACATCAAGGCGCTGCAGAGCGTGGGTCAGATTATCGGCGAGGTTCTGAAGCAGCTCGATGACGAAAGATGTGAGTTGAGAGCATCCCGCCTCCGCTTCCTTCCCTCCCCACCGCCGCCACCATCACCGCACCCGCACCTTGCGGGATCGTCAAACACTGAACGCTAACCGTGTCGCTCGCAAACAGTTATCGTAAAGGCATCCTCGGGTCCCAGATATGTTGTCGGATGCAGGTCAAAGGTCGACAAGGCCAGGCTCAAGCAGGGAACTCGCGTTGCCCTCGATATGACGACACTCACCATCATGCGAATGCTTCCCCGCGAAGTCGATCCCCTCGTCTACAACATGTCGCTGGAGGACCCCGGTCAGGTCAGCTTTGCTGGTATTGGAGGACTCAACGACCAGATTCGCGAGCTGCGAGAGGTCATTGAGCTCCCGCTCAAGAACCCCGAGCTGTTCCTGCGCGTGGGCATCAAGCCGCCCAAGGGTGTCCTGCTCTACGGACCTCCTGGTACAGGAAAGACGCTGCTGGCTCGTGCTGTGGCCAGCAGTTTGGAGACCAACTTTCTGAAGGGTATGTGAAGACCAATCCTACATTCAGGGTATAAGGTGCGGTGGACGAGGCATGCTAACTACTGGTTCCATAGTCGTCTCGTCAGCTATTGTCGACAAGTACATCGGAGAGTCGGCCCGTCTGATCCGTGAGATGTTCGGATATGCCAAGGAGCACGAGCCCTGCATCATCTTCATGGACGAAATTGACGCCATCGGTGGACGCAGATTCTCCGAGGGAACCAGTGCCGATCGTGAGATCCAAAGAACGCTCATGGAGCTGCTCAACCAGCTTGACGGTTTCGACTACCTCGGCAAGACCAAGATCATCATGGCGACAAACAGACCCGATACCCTCGATCCCGCCCTTCTCCGTGCCGGACGTCTAGACCGCAAGATCGAGATCGCCCTGCCCAATGAGGTGGGCCGTTTGGAGATTCTCAAGATCCACGCCTCTGGCGTCGTGACGGAGGGCGAGATCGACTTTGAGAGCGTGGTGAAGATGAGCGACGGTCTCAACGGTGCGGATTTGAGAAACGTGGTCACCGAGGCGTAGGTCTACCCCCTTCCACCCCAAAATGAGGTGGCATTTACTAATCTTTCACTCCTATAGCGGTCTCTTTGCCATCAAGGATTACAGGGACGCAATCAACCAGGACGACTTCAACAAGGCGGTGCGCAAGGTTGCCGAGTCCAAGAAGCTGGAGGGCAAGCTGGAGTACCAGAAGCTGTAAAGCGGCGATGACGGCGTCGCCATCGTGATGATGAATACGGGGGTGAAGATGCAAAGGAGAAACAAAAGACGCCAAAAGAGGGCGGCTGGGACAGGCATCATCGGGTCCTTGGCTGCTCCGGGCGTCTTTAATGTGTTAAACAGTGTACAATACCCGAGTCCAGGTTTGGGGTTGTTGCCGGCGGGAAAGAAACTCAGAGATGGCGGGCGTGCAATAGAGGCAGCAACAAACGAGTCCCAAAGCGCATCATGCGGCCTCGCCAATTCGAATCGTGAACGAGCTTCGTGGTGTTTTGACGAGGTTTCTCCCCAGGAGCGTGCGCCCTTGCGTTGATCGTCGGCATGGACCTGGTGCATCACGAGACGCATTGGCTCTCGTATCGTCGCAGAGGCAGGTTTTAGACTGGGGCGTTTTCTCTTATCTCTGCGCCCTTTGTATGTTCCCCAGTACGGATGCTATGGCATGTCATTTTTCCTTCCCTTTCCCTTCCCTCTGGACGGAGGCTCCCTCTTCCTCCCCGGCGAGGCTGGGGTAGGGATTGCGGCCGGGCGCGAGCTTCAGCTCCGTTTTTGAAGCTATTGATAGTGCACAGCCTCGGCTAGGCTGGGGTCCTGGTATGCGCGGCATGCTTTACGTATGGCCCGGAGGAAGGCGAAGCTCACCCGGTGCCACGTGCAGAGCTTCACCAACAGCAAAAAGCTTTCTTGCTCCTCCTGTAAACCCACCGCGCCGGGCGGCATGCGAACCGTAGTGGAGGGGATGTCGGCTCCCGGTGCCAGAAACAAACCCAATAGTGTAGAACTCAAGTAAGTGTAGGGCTGGGGGGAGAGCAAAAAAAAGGGGACCGAATGGTACGGAACGGAGAGCTATTCTGTTGAGAAGAGGGGTCCTGGGCGTCGGTGGTTCGGGCAAGCCACAGCTGTCTGACGGATGCATCCGCATCTATTGTGTCTACCTACCACAGCTTAGGGGGTGAGTTTAGGTGAGCGAGCTCCGTCTCGCTGGATGCACTATAGCTTCCGGGTGCCTCCCCTCGAGTCGGGTCTTACATGATCTCTTTCTCTCTGACATGCTTGTGATCCTGTCTGACGGGGGAGGAAACAGCCAACGGGTGGAGACTGGGAGGTCGCACACTGTAAGCCTCGAAGCTCCAGAGGATCGAGAGCTCCTTGGTTCTGCAACTGTCATTCGCCGATTTCGACCTGTTGTGCAAAGGAGGAGGAGGCTGCTGAAGCTGGCTGCATGCGGACGGCGACGGCGAGAGGGCTCTAGCTGAGACCGTATCATGTCATGGGTGATCTCGCACGGCAACGAATAGAGACAAAGGCCCGCCACATGTTTTCGATGCTGGCAGGATTGTGGTGAGATTCAAGATGAGTAGCTGCATGCGGGAAGTCCATTGTGGTTTGCGTGTCAAGTCTTCGCTGTTCGAGGCGCGGGCGTCCATCATGACAGCATCTCGGACTTCTGGTCTTGTGTTGGTCGGTCGCTGCAGTCGAGTAGTAGCTGTTGTTGTCCACCCTTACACCCATCCATCAATCCCCATGTGGTGGCCCGTACCATCCTATCCACGTCGTCCCTCTTACCGTTTCCAGGGACCGTGGAACATGGCACCCACTTGGAATCTGACATCAGAACGGTTTTGGGGCCTGGGCAGCGCAGCGCGCAACAAGCGGCTGCGGCTGGCAGAAGTTCGGCCGTGTTGATGGTCTGCCGCGGCGGTTGCGTTGCGCAGTGTTCATGTCCCAACTCCATGTCCCCCATCTGGTTCGGGGCGATGGGTGGTGGCATTGAGAAATGCAAGATGGTGATTTGCAGCCTAGCAGGGGTTCTCTCATCGGTGCGGCGTGTTATTTTTGGTGATTTTTCCTTTACGATGCCTCGGAGTGGACGACAGGTCGCCCCTTTTTTGGCCCGTTCTCACGATTGCCATTGAGGCTGTACCTTTTTTAGTGCGCTGTCCCCTTCCTTTTTTCTTCGTACCTGGACGCCCCCCACCTTACCACCCCTCCTTGGCTTCGTCAACCCCGGGGCCCCCCTCCATCCAGTGGGTGCAACCAGCAACCGAGCCAAGCAAGCAGCAGAAACCAGAAACCAGGGGACTCAACTGTGGGAAGTCCTGTCGGCTGGTGTCGCAGTGCCGACGATCCCCACTGGATTTTTTTCTAGCGTTGAACAAACAAGGTGCCTGCACCCAGAGGACTGGGGGCCGAGACCAGGGAATACGAATGATGTCGGCGATGGAACCCCTCTGAAGAAAGGCGTTGGGCAGCTGGTCAAGAAGTTGTAGGGTCGGGACTCGGGAATGACGAAGGCAAGTAGCCGTCTACATCACACCCAAGAGTAAGGGGATGCTTTTGAGGCGACACGGCAAGGGCGTCGAGTGCCGGATTAGGAGGGGTCAATGACGACGAGTACGGAGTGCGGACGTTGGTCGTGGTAACGGCAGATCTGGGTTCCAACTTCCGGCGGCTGCTTGATCCTTTCTTTTGGACTGGCCCCTTTTTTGCACTCGGCTTCGATTTGAACGAGTTTTGCACCGTTTTGGCTTGTAAGTCCAGAGAAAGACAAGTGGTGGTTGGGATGAGGTGGTTTCTTGGTTCGGGTCTTGGGATGCGGTGAGAAAGGATTGGATGAGGGAGTTGGGGGCCACATGGGATGATGGATGAAGGGGGGTGTGTTCGGAAAGTGAGGTAAGGCAAAGGAATGGC